ATACCAGAGTTGGCATCAGAAGCTGCCATCAGAGTTCTGATCAGAAAACCTCATCAGAAAAGCTCTTACCTAGCAAAACTCGAAGGCACTTACTAACGGTTGTTAAACTAACGGGAAATCCTCTAACGGCTAGGAACCTTTCGACGGGAACATGGTACTGTACACGCATTAAATGCTCAATTAATGCTGTACGTACGAAGATATATTTAAAGCTGATGATTGACCATGCGAGTATCTTCGCGCCCCCAAAATAGCAAGTCGAAGGTCCAACCGGTCAAGTCAACAGTACAAGCATTTAATGAAGCTGTCTTCTACACTCCAACAGGAAGACTGCTCCCAGTATATAAGATACACTCTGAAGAACTACCAGGATAACTTTGCTATAACTTTTGCTACACAAACTTGCTCAGATTATTCACTCTGAACTAAATACCTTCAAGCTTTCTTGAGATCAAAGACTCACTTACCTCAACAAGAAGAGATCATGTTGGAAGATATACTTTCTTATCCTTCATCCAACTAACAAGTAGCAAAGTTCCTCAGTTCTTCAACACTTCGAAAACCTCATCTACACATCTTTTGTGAAGAAGCAACGTTGGAGAAAACTGATCTTGAATCAAACACTTCTTGAAAAAGAAGGGGCGTCTCAAACTAACTGGAGTAAGTGAAGTGGTGATACTTCCAAGAGACTCAGTGAAACGAGACCAGCCATCAGGAAGCAGGACTGCATCCCGGGTGGCAACTAGGCTTGAAGAAGACGTGGAGAGCTTCTTAAGTTCTAGGGACTAAGGCGTTGTAAACTGTTGTTTTTGCAAGCTTAGTGGAACAATGGACTAGAGGAACAAGTTGTTCCTTGAACCACTATAAAAATCCCCGGTGTCATTTACTTTACTCTTTTATTTCTGCACTTAAGAACTTGACTGTGTAACTCAAAAGGTTGGACTCTGTGTTCAGCAGATCTTCCTCAAGAGTTATCAGAAAGGCATTTGCCTTAGTGTTTTCTGAGGCTACCCGAACAGAAACCAATCTGCTGCCAGGTCGAGTTCTGCCATCAGAACTTGACCTTCTCTGTCTCCAGAATTCGACCATCTCTGATAAGTCAGTTGTGACTTAGAGAAAAGTTTAAATTCCTGAACAGTCTATTCACCCCCTAGACTGTTCCGATTACAAACGGGACCAATAGAAGGAAGGGAGAGAATGAACTGGTTTGCCAATATCACAGTGTAGAATTCAGAGTGTGATTGATTAAGTCTCCAAACTCTCCCTTTCCACAAGTCGGAAGGTGATATTTATACCAAGGGGAAAAGGAAATACTTGGTGCCCAAGCAAAATATGCTAGTCTAATAGGAGAGGGGCACGTGTAAAGCTATTCTAACAAACTAACAGTCTAATTCGATGGGGAGCAGCCACGTGTAAAGTTGATTGGAGAGAGAGTCTTTGACAACTGGCTGATTGGATTTTGCTCCTAACGGAATGCTGCTAGAAACCTCGTGTGGCTAAGCGTGGGTAATTGAGAATATTCCCCGGTGACGTGGCGGTCTCTCCTTGAGGGGTAAATCCTTGCGGATTTTGTCTAAGCCCATAATGCTTTATCCCGACCTTGAGGTACTATTGAAGTCGATATCTGGGAATTCGGACCCGTGATGGGGGGAATCGCCTCCCAGTAGTTTGACTGCCTGATGCTTGACTGTTGTTGACCAACTGTTTGACTGTCGTTGACTAACGGTTTGACTGTCGTTGACTCCTGGGGCCAGACCTGGTCCCGACCTCGGATGCATCGAGGTCGGGCTCATAAGTTGCCGAGTTCAGTTGATTCCTGAGCCTGATGTTTTTCTGACCTCGGGGTCGGGGTCAGGCTCTGCCAGCCTGTTATTCGTTGAGTTGGATTGGTTCCTGAGCTTTTTCCCGACCTCAGCGGTCGGGGTCAATCTTGGAGTGTGGACTTAGTATTTTGCGTACTTCAGAATGCGTCCATGATATTTTATACCGGCGATTATGATACCCCTGAGGTATATGGGAATATACTCCATTAGGTACCAGGTTAATAAACTTCCGCACTTGGTTAAAATTGGTTACTTTGCTGATTTCTTTGGTATTCCTAGCTTATGTTTATAATTGTTGTACTTTTATTTTTGGGTCAGATCTAGCCCCCCCAAAATTGTTTCTTTATTTCTGTTCCATGTATTTTTCCAGAGGTATGCCTCTGGTGAGAGGTTTTGGTCTGGTCCCCCTCTCTTCTGTACTTTTTCTCATTATTAATAAAACTCTGGAAAATGTTCCCCGACATTTGCCCCACTGATTTTGGTGGTTTGCCTTCCGTGTTATAAAAACAAAAAAAACAGTACCCGTAGATGTCACACCCCATGCATGGGAACCCGGTTGACCACCCCCTACAGGGAAATAAGTTGACTGCCCTGAGGATACCAGTACACCTGATGTTGGCCATACGGTATTGGATGATGTTGTCCGCGACCTCGCCCCCTTCCGTCGCGGCCTCTCCCGCGACCGCGACCTCGTTCGCGCTGCTGATTGCCGAACTGGCGCTGCTGCCAGACCGGGTGACCCTGCTACCTGACCGGGTACGAGGAACTGGAATGCTGCGAGGCCGAAGGTTGAGCAGGTGATGAAACAGCCGCGTCGAAAGCCTGATGGAAGGATGAGGACTCCTGTGAGCGAAGGTAAATAACCCCTGCTCTAGCTCAAGAAGATGATTACGTAGAGTTTCAAACGGGGAATTTTGAGGAAATAAGGGCACAGTGGTAAATAAAGATTCATACTCAGGTCCCAGTCCCATAATAGTAGTCTTCAAAACTTCCCGGGGAGGCACAAGGCAATTCATTGTGGCAAGATCATCAACTAATATTTTAATTTCTCTCAAATAGTTATCCATGGATTGATCAGGTTTCTTTTTTATTTGATTAAATAAACGCTTTAATTCCATAGACCTGGCTAAACTGGCAGACATAAACTGAGACTCTAACCGCTCCCAAATTTCACATGAATGTTTTAAATCACGCACATCGATAAGAACATCCCTAGATAGGGTTGCAAATAACCATGAACGGATTGTTTGATCAATTCTCAATGATGGAGTATATGGGTCTAAGCCCCAGGACCCACATACTCAGAAGAACAGAAAGTACGAGCCACTGAACAGTGCCCTCGTCGGCCAAAGGACCCTCGTCGGCCGAAGAGGGACCACTCAGAATACGATCCTGAAGCTAGGGAACCAGGGGGTCCTCATCGGCCGTGCCCTCATCGGTCGTGACCTCGTCGGCCAGACCCTCGTCGGCCACGGAGGTCTCGCAGAACTAGGTTTTACACTTAGTTATTTATGTATCCCATCAGTTACTTTGTATTCGGCTCAATAGCGGTCCAGTTGTAAATGGGCCTCTCAAGCCCAAGGCTTGGGAGCCCAGCTCGTATTTTTACTATAAATACTTCCTCTGGAGGTAGTTATAGGGGTTACAAAATCATTCTATTGAAGCATATACTTGCACTTCTCTCTCTAGCTCTCACTTCTCTCTAGAATATACTCTATCACTCAACCAAGTGGAAAATTTAGGATTGGGAGTTTGACGGTTAATAGCATATATGGAATAAGCAGGAGGTACCTGAATGGAGCCATCAACCATGCCAAGTAGAGCTTGTGAAACCAGAAACGATTCGAATTCTATCCTCCAAGTGGTATAGTCTTCCACCACCAACAGGTTAGTAGTCACAATATTTGTGACATTGGTGGCTACATGAGATATGGTTTGAGCTAGATCAGTGAGAATGAATCCGGCCGGGTTGCCTGCTGGTGCGCGAGAGGGAGGAAAAACGGAGGATACACCAGGTGAGCCGACGAACGTGGGGCCAGCAAAGGAAGGACCGGCCGAGAGGGGCGGCGGCTCTAGAGGGACAGCCTGCACGGGAATTGGAGCCGACCAAGGGAACACCGGTGGTACATTCTGAAATAAAGAGTATGGCATAGATACCCGACTTGGTGATGGAAAGTTGGAGGAGAACGTCACACCGGAAGCGACTGAGGAGATCGCCGACAACGATCCAAAAGACGGAGGAGCGCCGGTGGTGGTGACTGAAGTGACCGTACCGCTGCAGTGGAGGTGGGCTGACCTGGTGTTGTCAAGGTGCTGAAGGGTGTGGTAGCGGCGGTCGACATGTTGCAGTTGACTGGCGGCGCCGAAGGAGAGAAGACGGAGGCGGCGCTAGGGTGGCAATGCCGAAGGAGAGAAGACAACGGCGCTAGGGTTTAGTGAGAGAGGATCGAAAAAAATTAAAGTGCTCTTGATACCATGTGAGAATAATGGAAAAGGTTACTCCGTGAGGAGTCCTCACAGATATATTTATATTAAAAAGAGTTTAATGTAAAGTATAATACTAAAGCTCTAATAATAATTCTATTAAAAAGTTATCTTGCAAACAATAGAGTTTGGTGACAGTGATTTGAAAATTATTTACATATTTTAGGCAATATTTCATAGAAGTGCGCGCAGAGATATGTGAGCGTAGTAATTATATTACTCGCCTTGATATGGTTTCATGTTTTAAAGTTGTGCGGTTAAATATACGGAGTATATTCTAAAAGATTGAGTGAAATCGAAGTGATTTCGTAATCAACCAAAATCGCAGAATTAAATAAAAAACGATTCAATATTATGCATACTATGTTACGTATAAAAATAGGATCTTAAAATCATTGAATTAAAGGAGCATATGTATAAAAATTGAACGCTAACAGGGTCAGCCTTTAATTACATACATACTACGGAGTAGTGGCTTGTCTAAAAATTGCTAGGATCACATACGTACATAAATTAAAGGAGCATTATTTCATCAATATAAAGATATTTCAGCTAGCTCATGTGAGATTCTTAAATCTGTACTTGCCGAGCGATAAAAATGGAAGTTGATAATACCTAAACTGATGGAGATTAAATAGCTAGTGATAATGCTATGTTTAATTAATAAATTCGCGAATTCATGGGTGTTCTCAACATTGTTTAACTTATACTAGTAGAAGATACTTATATATTATAATATTAGGTGGGCGGATGGAAAAAGGTTACAAGAAAGAAAAAACTGAAATACATATAGTATATAATAATAATAATGCGAATGGAAAGCGTAGGTAGCGCGCGGATGTGTGGAAAATAATTAAGTAACGCATGCATGCATGCATATCATGCGGCGGCGGCGGCGGCGGCTTAAGGTCAATTGACAGAGCTTCTAATTTGTTGAAGCACAGTGTCGTCGATTCCGAAAGATCCTTTGAGCACAGCGTCGAGGGCGGAATCAGGAAAGGAAGCGGCGGTGTCTTTGCCGAAGAGGTCGGTGGTGACGAAATGAAAGCCGGGGCTCTGACTGTTGAACACCGTATAGGTGGTGCCTCCCTCCGGCCCGGTACACATTCCGAAGTGAGTGAGGCCCTGCGGGACGGTGAACGCGTCTCCCTCGCGGCACGTCTTCTCGAAGAAGCGAGTCCTGGTGGCGTTGTTGGGGTCGGTGGCTAGGAATGCGAAGTAGAAGGTGCCCTTGACAACCAGGGCGAGCTCGACGGCCCGAGGGTGGGTGTGGGGCGGAATGACGGCGCTGGCATTGTAGTCGTTGCGAATGAGCGTGAGGGAGCCGGTGTTGAGGCCGGGCATGTTGGTCACACTGGCGTAGCTGTAAGTTGATCCCGGAAATGCCGCTTTACTGGAGGATGTGTTGAGACCGCTTGCGAAGAAGTCATCTGCTGTGACCTGATTTGGGTCTTTGCACACCCGCCCATTCACAAACACGCCGCCGCCGCCGTTTGTGGAATCCGGTTTTGCGGCAACGCAGTAGTCTTGGAGAGGACTCGGGTCGTATGCACGGCTCCCAACAAATGTTGAAAACAATATCACTGCAGCAAATCCGCCTACTACCACTCTCCATGATGCAAACCCTAACCCCCCCATTTTCATTTATACCAATTCTATTATATTGAAGCGCGAGAACTAGATAGATATATAGCTAGATCGATATCGATCTTCGTTCCTGTAAAAACATGTACGTATTTATAGTCATTTCTGTGCGCGTATGTACGTACGGGGATTGGATAGGATGGTAATTAGCCATTCCATGGGCCGGGTAGCTATAGATTGATCGAATCCTTTTTAATGATGGTGCAAGATATTCACCGTTACGTTGTTACTCCTTATTGACTCAATACAATATAATCATACCGCGCCACTATTATACGGAGTCGTGTCTTTACTTTTACCGGCCCATTCTTATTACCCCAAACTACGTCAAACTAAACCACAACTCACTACAATAATCATATTACCGAGTATTATACGGAGTAAGTTATAACTATACTTTTAAACTCATAATATCTTTTTCCTCTACCCATTCTTATTACTCCAAATTTAAAAGATATTGCGTAAATATCTTTATTAAAACCCCCAAAACATAAATGGACTGAAACACATAATATGTGCACTAAAAATGATCTAAAATACAATAATATACATTGAATTGGTGATCGAGTGCCTCTATATTTTATTTCTTACCTTTGAACTTTCACCAAAAACATTTTCATTGGTGCTATAATTAAATCATTAGGTACATTCTCCATTTCATTTCAGATATTTTCGGAACAAAATTGGGAGATTTCAACAAGTAGGATTTAATCATACTAATTTTCCAAAATTAAGACTACAGATTAATCTAAGACTTAAGTGCACCTACTTTGACCAAATTGCCCTTGCTTTTAAAATCCGCTGCAGACCACGTTCAAAAGCTCCTTCCCCAATTCTCCGCATATGACTCCAAAACAGGAAGCATCTCTGTCAGCTTCAGCTTCGGTTCGGCGGCATAAGAGAGGGAGGCAAGTGGACCCGCCAGAGCCAGCGGAGGATCGGAGGAGTGGGGTTCCGGTGGAATTGAGGATCAATGACACTGTTCATTGGAAACTTGCAAACAATAGACAATACATAGACAGTAAGTAGTCATTAAAAAGACAATAAGTTCTGATAATAGCTCAATAGCAGACAATACATTGACAATAAGTAGTCATTAAACAGACATTCAATTCTGGTAATAGCTCAATAGCAGAGTACGTAATGTAAAACTGGGAGGATATTGAACTTAATTTCAGGGGAATACGAGGAATAGGGGAGGAGTCCCTCGAATCTTGTCATATGCGATTTTGCCATATTCAATACCAGTTTAAACAAAAGCAATTTTTCCATATTGTGATTGAGATTGTACATGATTTTGCCATTAACTTGGCAGAATCTAAGCCTTCCTCCAAAAATTTGGAGAATCGGAATTTGTTTAAGAACTTGGAAATCAAAATCGAAAATATGAAGAAGAGGAGGAGGAGGAGGAGGAGGAGGAGGAGGAACTCTCTATGGCGGTGGCGTCCGGTGAAGTCGGCAACACAAGCGTGAAATCTCCAAGGGATCTGGTGCGAGAGAAGTCGATCGATCTGAATACTGGGAAGAGGAGAGAGGCGTAGGTGAAGAAGGGTAAAAGTGGAACGCAACAATAAAGTTTCTTAGAAGTATATAAATATTACGGATGGAAAAAAATTAAAGAAATTCTACTCTTGTAAAAGTCGTATGAATTGGTCTCACCGTAGTAGTTTTCTCAACAAAATTTATATTCTAGTTGTCGACTATATTTATAATCGTCTAGTGACTCTACTCTCTCGTTACTTATTTATATATGCACTTTGCACGTGAGGACTAGAGAAAAATAACCACTATCACACGACTTACATATTGCCCAAAAAGTTACAAACAAACAAAATGCTACCACAAATACATTTATTAAATCAAAATAACAAATCTTTTGATTTGTTATTTGTAAGAAACATAAATATTACTCCGTACTATATATGCATGTATTTTTATCGAAAAACTCAAAAAACTAAAGAAAAGCCGTCAATACAATTAGATACACGCACCGTACCGTCTCATCTTATATTCCCAAAATCTTTTGGAACTAAGACTTGAATGTTGTTGTACAATCTCACCTTATAGGCTTATACTATTGTACCAACATTAACAAAAAAGTAGAATAGTTAACATAACCACAATAAACTAATAATATAAGAAACTAAGAATATTTATTAAAATAAGGACCCGTGAAGTGATAAATAAATAAATAAATAATCAATATTTATCAAAAAAATTATCCCTCATTAGGACTATGTATGGCGGTGAATGGCTAATTGGATAAAATTGCATCAAAGCAAACATTCAAATACTGCAAGATGAGCACTGAGGAAACTGCCAAACACCCAAGGCCGGCCAGAGGTGCAACAGGGGCGACCGCCCTAGGCTCAAGAAAAGAGTAAGAAAAAATAAGCCCAAAAATATTTATTTGTATGTAGTGTGAGTAGGCTCATTTGTTTGTGGAAATATCCGGTTAAACCCACTTTTCCCAAATACATTTCAGTTATGTCCCCTGTGATTTTACTTTTCATGTGTAACTTTCATCTTTTCACTTTTAGTTTTTTATTTAAAAAATAGCCTAAATCCCAAATCAAGAGATCACAATCTGGCATCTTTACGACATGTCGAATTGAAGCAGAAGCGCACACAGCTTTTCTCCACACGCCTAGCTCTGGTCGCGCCTCCAGCCTCTGCGTCTCCACCCTCCGCCCTTTGGCCTCCATCTTGTGCGGCTCTGCGCTCCGTCCTCCGTCCTCCATCCTGTGCGGCTCCATGCTCTGCCATCGGTCCTGTGCGGCTCCACACTTTGCCATCGGTCCTGTGCGGTTCCACGCTTTGCCATCGGTCATGTGCGGCTTTACTTCCAGTCGGTTGAAATCTGCCTCAAATAGCTTTGCTGGAGGCAATGAAATCCATCTTAAATCATCCCTAGTCATCATCCTACAAAGTCTATTTGATGGATAGTGTACCCGAGGGGTAGCTTATTCGAGGGGTTATTTTAGGGCGTTGAGGAGGACGCCTTCGGCTGAAGGGCGTTGGGCCGAAGGCTCTTCTAACCGGGGGCTTCCCTGTGCCGAGAGCTGTATATGCTGAAGGCTTGGTTTTCAAGCCTTATTCTCCTGTGATGTTTCTGAGCTCGAATCTGTCAATGGTAGCCTTCGGTCATGGGGCCGAAGGCACCCCCTTGCGTATTGTGGGCTGCTTAGAGCTTCATCCAGTTGGGCTTGGCCCGTTTGGGCCTATTGGGCCTGATTGCAATAGTGGAAGTACGTGGGCCGGGGGTTCCCAGGCCATATACTCCATCAGAAGTCCCTCACTCCTTTTGCCGAAAGGTACTGGAGGGAAAATGAGTAGTTGCGTTTGTAGAGTTGTGAGAGGTTTGTGTTGTCTGTTTTTCCGAGGGCAGCCCCTCAGTCCCCCACACTTTGGGACTGAAGGGTTTTGTTGATGCTATAAGGAACTTTTAACATTTTGTGATTTTCCCGAGGGGGTTCTCCAGTCCCCCACTCCTTAAGGCACATGTAATGTGGTGAAAACGGAGTAGAACAGTGCCTATCTTCAGTCTATGACCGAAGGCTGACGCTTTTCGTTTCATTTTGGGGGGATGCCTCGTTAAAAACCTTATTAGGAAAAACCCTGTGGGAAAAAGTCCTAATGAGGGAAAAAGAATGCACCGAATTCCCCCAATGATGAATAAAAAAGGCGAGCCCTTGGTTTGAGATGAAGAGTAATGTTAACGCCGAGAGCTATCCGTGGCCTGGGGGCTTTCTTGTTGATTAGCCGTAGGCACTTTGAGAATATTCCGGGAATGCCGAGGGGAGTCTAGTGCTGTTCTGTCGAGAGGATATTCCGGGAATGGGGGAGGAATGCAAATGTTTGGTCATGTGCTGTCGAGGGGTTCCCTGGTGGGGGGGGGGGGGTGAAAGAGTTGATCCGAAGGCGTGCACAATTGTTGTCTGAGGGGTGCCAGCTGAGGGGGTTCTTTCAAGTTTGTATTTTTGTAATAATAGACCCCTTTTATGCGCCCAATCTTTCTTAGTAGCCTCACCTGGATATTCTTCAAAAGCTTTTTCTGCAATAAGGACCTCATTTTCACACGCTTTGATATCGTCAAAAATATTTCCAAATACTTCTTTGTTCCAAATTTTTAAATCATGATTCAGATTTTTGAGCTTAGACACCAGGCCCCTCATTCCTCCCCCATAGACATAAGAATTCCACTTTTTATTAATGAAATTCTTAAATGAGGTATTAGAAAACCACATGTTTTGGAACCTAAATGGTTTAGGTCCAGAGTAGCCTGTACTGCTGCATTGAATTAAAATTGAGCTGTGATCTGAAGGAGATCGATAAGCAAAGAAATCTGAATATGATCAAAATTATCAATGCATTCATCATTAACAAGACATCTATCCAGACGCCTCCTTACCCTTCCATTTGATCTTACTCCTGTCCAGGTGAATTGGGGCCCTGTATGTGGAAGGTCAGTCAAATGGAAAGCTGCAATAAAGTCATAAAACTCATTCACCCCCCTAAAACTTGGTAAAGAGTTCCCTTTATGTTCACAGTATTTTGCTATTTCATTAAAGTCCCCTCCCAATAACCAAGCTTCAGTCATATTGTATGAAATGGCCGTGAGTGCATTCCAAAGTTCTCTCCTGGTAATGTAGGAATGTCTACCATAAACCCCAGTTATCCAACCATTGAAAGAATTAGTAGACACTTTGAAGTGAACATATTGTGTATACCACTGAATATGACTAACGTTAATTGTTGAGGAGTCCCAAAAAATCCAAATTTTTGTGCTAGGAGAATAAGCTGCCTCACTAAAACCAAACATAGTTTTGTAATGGTTGATCTTAGAATTGTCCCCCATTGGCTCAATGATAATTAATAATCTAAGCCTCCATTGAGTAACTAGGGAACTAAGTCTGGAACTGGAGGATTCCAGATCCCTAACATTCCATATTAAACAATTCATGTGACAGAGCGAACAATTCTCCTAGCTGCACCCCGAGTTGGCCTCCTCAATGATGGTTCAGCTAGTTTTTTCTTTTTTGTTGTTTTCTCAC